ATGCCTACCCTACCCAGCCCTGTCTCCCCAGCCCCGGGGTTCTCTCACCGATTGTTCCCGTTAAGCAAGGAGAAGAGCGGGCCGAGGCGTAACTCCGCCGCCTGCTCGCGAAGCTCGTGGAGCGGCACAGCATGCACCACGGACTGCAGCGCACGCAGCTCCTCCAGCGGCGCCTCCAGCCGGGCCACCTCCCTCAGGAGCGCCACAGCCTGCAACGCCATCTTGCCGGCTCCGGTCTGCCCGCCCACCTATCAGGATCCCGGAGCCCTTCTCCGAGTCTCGCGAGATCTGAGGGGGCGTGGCCTCCCACGAATCCGTCAAGTGTCGCGAAGCGAGGTCCTGGGGGATTTGCTCAGAGCGGTACACGCCCCTTTGCAGCTGGGGCTGCGGAGCTGGGACCGCGGGGCGACACTGGCTGCGTCCCGACGGCTGCGTCCCGACGGCTGCGTCCCGACGGCTGCGTCCCGACGGCTGCGTCCCGACGGCTGCGAGGACGCGCGGGGAATCAAGAGCGACGTGCATGGTCTCCTCAAAAGCCTCGGTTCCTGAGAACTGGACGTGATGCGGCACCGTTTTGACTTCTGTCAGCCAGCGGGAAGCTTGATTAAGAGACGTTTGGGGCTAGTGCACAGAAGGTTTCCGGCATCTTCAAGATTCAGTGCGTGATGGAATCATCCAAAGGATGGACACTGCATTAGTGTTTGGAGTGGAGGAGCAGGCAATAGAGGGGCAGGCCTCAGGCCCTGAAGGCCGTTCGTTCGCATCCAAGCCAAATGCGCATATAGGTAGCTGGTGGAAACCAGTGGACAAGGGCAATCCATGTAAATTTCATGAAAGCAAGAGAAAATGTTCCAAAATCGCTGCTGTCCGTGAAATACGACATTGATGGAGGAGGAAGGACCATTAAAAGCTAGTCGACAGCTGTGCGGGCTCATCTTATGTCAACTTGACACACAACATAGAGTTCTCTGAAAGGAGGGAACCTCAACTGAGAAAGTGGCTCCCTAAGATCCGGACATTTTCTTAGTTAGTGATTGATGAGGGAGGACCCAGCCCATTGTGGTCCTGGGTTCTATAAGAAAGCAGAATGAGCAAGCCATGGGGAGCAAGCCAGTAAGCGGCCCTGCTCCATGGCTTCTGCATCAGCTCCTGGCTCCAGGTTCCTGCCTGGTTTGAGTTCTTGTCCTGACTTCCTTCAATAATAAACAGCAATATGAAAGTATAAACCAGATAAACCCTTTTCTCCCCAACTTGCCCTTTGGTCATGGCATTTTGTTGAAGCAATAGAAACCCTCACTGAGGTAACAGCCAACTATTTCAAGCAATGGGAAAGTCTGGTCAGAGTTGTGGACTTCGTTGGGTCCTCAACACCAAGGAGATGAGTCTGCTTTGGAAAGTACAGCTTCCTGTACTTTTAAGGAAAGAGACAAAAAATCTAGCAAGCTTAGGAAAGGTTAAGGATGGGATATCCCTCTGTGTGTGTGCATGCCAGGGACTCGGGTAACAAAAATAAAATCCCATGGCTTTACAAAGACCCTAATCCTACTTATCCTTTGGAGAAAGAGAAACCACCATTTTCCTGTTTTATGCCATGCTCACCTGGAAGTATCAATAACCCTTGCCTTCTTTTTGGATTACTTCGTGATTATTGTAGTCTTGAAGCCTAGAAGCTAATTGGCTGAGAAAAACCTTGAATTAAAGGTGCTGGTAATTGTGGACAGAAGTCCCAGTCATTCAAACCCTGTTCTTTGCTTACTCAATGTTGATATTATGGCTCTTCTCCCCACTTCCTCCCAGAGGCTTGTTTTCTGCAGCCCTTGAATCAATATTTTTGAAGCACCCAGGAATTATTATACCAAGAAGACATTAGACCACTTTGCTCACTGCATTGACAGAAAAAAACAAAAAAACCCACCACCACCTCACTTAAGGCACACAGCGGCTGCTGGATAGTGGTGGTGGTGCACACCTTTAATCCAGCACTCAAGAGGCAGAGACAGGTGGATCCCTGTGAGTTCAAGGCCAGCCTGGTCTACAGAGCGAGTTCCAGGACAGCCAGGATTACAAAGAGAAACCCTATCTTGAAAACCAAAAAAAAAAAAAAAAAAAAAAAAAGCAACAACAAAAAAAACCAAACCAAACAAATAAACACAACAACAAAAAAACAAACACTGACCTTACATTACTTTTAGTGGTTGTAAAAGAAGTAAAAAAATGACAGACAGACAGCCATTCTTAAAGCTTGGTAGAAACTTTATGGTGAAACCAATGTTTTCACATTTCACTGGAGCTGATGAGCTTAAAAAAAATCTGTAAAGTTGATGGGTTAAAACTAATATTAAGAAAAATGAAAATATAGAATCAAGAGCCTTTGTCTGTAGACAAGAAGACCAGTCCCTACAAGCAGAGATTAAAGATAACACTAAGGAAATTGAATGCAGTGTATGCCAGGCCTCAATCCTCACTGGCTGCAATTGACATGGATCCCGTGCCTATAAGATGGCTCAGCGGTAAAGGCACTTGCTGTCAAACTGATCTGTGTTGTAGATTTTGTTTTAAGAGGTGTTACAATTGTTTATGCTGTGGAACATTAGTTTAATGATGCAAAGATGTGTTGCATTCTTTTATGTTGCATTTGTTTAACTCTGTGAAGCTGTGTTACTTTGCCTGCCTGAAACGTCTGATTGGTCTAATAAAGAGCTGAATGGCCAATAGCAAAGCAGGAGAAAGGACAGGCGGGGCTGGCAGGCAGAGAGGATAAATAGACGGAGAAAAAGGAGAAAGAAGATCAAGGAGGAGTATAAGGAGGAGGACTGCAGGGGTCAGCCGCCCAGGCACACAGCTAGTCACAGACGAAGAGTGAAGAAAGTAAGATTACAGATGTCAGAAAAGGAAAAAGTCCAGAGGCAAAAGATAAATGGAATAATTTAAGTTAAGAAAAGCTGGCTAGCAACAAGCCAAGCTAAGGCCAGGCATTTATAAGAAAGAGTAAGTCTCCGTGTATATTTAATTGGGAGCTGGTGGGCCCCCCAAAAGAGCAAAAAAATAAAGAATAAAAAAAAAACCAACTAACTACAGATCTGAGTTCCATTCCTCATGATGGAAGGAGAGTGCTGACTCCCACAGGTTGTCATATGGATGCCACACCAGGTTGTGGAAGACACACCCTACATACACCAAAAATAAATAAATAAATAAATAAAATAAAAAGATTGCAGTGGTTTTCCAAATAACCTATAAAGAGGTAGAAGAGAACTTACAAAACAAAGAGACTGGAAACAAATGAAGTAGGTAATGGAGAGGGATGCAGGATTCGAGTCTGAGGGGAAGTCTGACCCTGGCCCAGAGTGGAGACTGTCAGAATTTCATAAAGAGGAAAAGGTGGGAGAGCTGATGGGAATAAAAGACTTCTGGAAGCGGTGCTTGTAATCCCAGGCGGTGGCATGCAGACTGAGAATTTCTGTCTCAAGATACTGCCAGAGCTGTACATGTACAATTGGACTTTGGGGATCTCACCTGAGAACTGACTATGAAGAGAGCAGAGGCACCCAGAGGTTGCTGTTTCCAAATGGTGGTTTCTCTGCTGCCATCCAGATGTCTTCCGGCATCACCAGCACCCCTGCCATCCTTCTCAGAGTTCCCAGCCACACACCCATAACATCTAGTCATCGAACAGGTGCTGAGCAATAACGTCTCAGGGAAATGAACTGAGGTAAATGGTCATTACCGATGCCCGTTTTCATTAATGTGATAGGTATGAAGGACTATAGCATAGCTCTGATTTATTTTAGTACGCTTATAAAGGTTTTTTTTAGGGACCTTCAGACTTATTTTTTTCTAACTATATATTTTGTACAGATAACTAAGTTTTTCAGCTACAAGGAGAAACAGGTAGTTGAAAAGAATAACTGCTTTTGCAATTGTAGCATGGTTACTTGTTTTGTAAATTATTCAATATTAATCGTTTGGTCTTCATATCTATGAAGGAGTATGAGCCTTTCCTTACCCCCCCCCCCCATCTCAGGGTAAGTAATTTGGTGAATGCGCAGCTAACAATTGAACTCATTTTAGTTATTTCTTTTGCCAGGAAACCAGGGCTTTAACAGTAGATAAACAGGTCGTACAACCACTGGAGGCTGTGAACTGGTCTCATGGACCAGGTTTGGTTAATGTTGTGTTTCTCTGCTCAGTTTGAAACAATTTCTGGTTTGTTTTCCGTATTCCCGCATTTTTGTTTGAGAGTTTGTTACACTGTATGAAATACAATAAAATTTACCAGTGTATTTTTTAAATTATTATTTGACTATTGTGTGTGACTGTGGGTGTGAGTGTGTCACACGAATGTGTGGAGAGCAGAGGGCAACTTACTCTCTTTCCATCACGTGGGTTCTGGGATTGAACTCAGTTCACCAGGTTTGGTGGCAAGCACCGTTACCTAATGAACCATCTCTCTGGCTCAGAACTCACCAGTTCACTGGAGAGAGAAGAGGGAGCAGAAGTACAGGTGAGGAGGGAGGGAGGAGGAGAGGGAGGGACACGTGACAGAGAAGCTGTTAGTCCCATGTGTGCTTCTTTTGTTTGTTTTTGTGGGTGGCTTTGGCCTGTTGACAGAGGGTTTTATCTATCTGTTGCAGCTTTTGTGTGCTGTGGTTTCTGAAGTTTTGTTTCTTAAGGAAAGTTTGTCTTTTTATCTGTATATCTATGATTTTATTGTTTACTTGAAGAGAAAAAAGAGTAGCATTTTTGCCAGAGTAGTAGTAGCTCTGGAAAGCAAGCTCAAAGAAGAGGTGAGACCAGTGGGCAAAAAACCAAACGCTTTCCTTCCTTCCCGGGCTGCCTCCTGGCCAGCCTAGCTGGGAGGGGCGGAGCTGGACGGTGTCCTGGAAAAGGTGTGTGGGGGTGGAGGAGGCTGCAGTTAAGGCCCTCTGGTCCACCTATCAGCCAACACTACCTAGGGCTGTAGTGCAGTTCCTGCCTGGTGCAAAATCCCCAGCAACACCATGGACAGGCCGGAACCACGGTGCCCTCCACCAGGCTCCCTCAGGCTATTTGTCCTTACATGCCTCCTGGTGAGTGTCCCAGTTTTTAACACTGTCCTCCTGCCTGAAGCCTCTACCTGGGGCTGAGGGAGAAGAAATGAAGGAAGGTGTTTCTCGTAGCTGCTCTTGAGGTTTTGAGCTGTGGGCAGGCTTGTAGGAGAAGAGTTGAGATCCTTTGAAGTCCTTAACGTCCTGGAAGCTGTCCAGCATTTCAGGGTTACCAGCACCCTTTCATGTCTGCCTTGTGGGGGTAAGTGGGGTTGTGTTACTGTGAGGGAAGGAGTGTTTTCTGGCACATTCTCTCCTAAGCCCTTTGATAGGGTCTTTGGTTATTGCCCTTACTGTCATGCTTTCCTGCTGTTTTCTCGGTTCCGAAACGCCTTAGAAAGTTAATGCAAGATGTGACAGCAGAGTAGTTGCCAAGGTAGGGCAGCAGGGCTGTAGGAGAGTCCCGAGTCCCGGGTTCCACACCACCCTGTGTACTCATTTGGACTGATTACTCCCCTTCTCTGGACATCATTTCCTCATTTTCGAAAACTGCTGTAAATCTCTTTGAGGGTTTTTGTTTTAAGTTCCAGATTTGTAGCCAGGAAAACAAAAAGCTGAATGTTGTTTTGATGTCAAGGTATTTACAGATTCCTTAGAAGTTTAATCCACTGGGTTAGGTGAGGCTTCCTCTGCCTCATCACAGGCTTGTGAAGCCCACTAACCTCTTCAAGGCCACATAGGTACTCCAGGACACCAAGAAAGAAGACTGACATGGTGGTGCACTTCTGTAATCCTAACACTCAGGAGGCTGAGGCAGGGGGATCCCTGCAAGTTTGAGGCTTACCTGGACTACATAATGAGTTTAGGCCATCCAAGGATACATAGCAAGACTCTGTCTCAAAAAAAGAAAAAAAAGAAAAAGAAAAGGAAAAAAAGAAAAGGAAAGAAAAGAATAAAAAGGGAGAATGGCTGGATCAAATAAGAAATAACTGAATGAATACATAAAATATTTCATATAAGTGTAAAATTAGAAAAGATGTAAAGATACAAAAGATATAAAGTATTAAAACTTTATAATGTGAAGATATTTCTTTAAAACTTAAGTTTGGGGAGATGCCTTAGTCAGTAAGGAGCTTGCTGTGAAGCTCATTCCGATCTCCAGCAGCTATGTAAAGAAGAACCAGGCACAGCAGCACACATCTGTGCCTCAGCACTAGGGGTGGTGGGGACAGGTAGACCCTGGAGCTCATTGACTAGCCAGCCTGGCTGAATCAATGAGCTCTAGGTTCAGTGAGAGACCCTGTCTCAAAAACAAAATGGATCCCAGACAAAGAACTGCAGGCAGCGAAGGAATTCTGAGAGCAGGAGAAGCCGTCTTCCCCAGAGAAGAGCCCCGATTATCCATTACCAAGTGGTCAGCCCTGAAATTATCTATCTATCTATCTATCTATCTATCTATCTATCTATCTATCTATCTATCATCTATCCATCCATCCATCCATCTATATGTAACACTAGATAGATTGAACAGATTGTGTGTGTGTATATATATATATGTGTGTGTGTGTGTGTGTGTGTGTGTGTGTGTGTGTGTTCATATATGTGTGCAATAATAACAAAGAAAAGGAGGAGAAATGGGAGGGATTGGAGGGAGGAAAGGGAAAAGGGAATGACATAATTGTATTTTAATTTCAAAAGAATAATTTTTTAAAAGGTGGAAAGAACTGAGGGAGACACCCTCTGGCCTTCACAAGCACAGTGTTCTGCACATGTATGCACATGTACACACACAGCATACACTAGTCAGAGTTTTCCCATGAAAGTGAGTGAGTGGTATGGCATTGACAGTGGTGACTGCAGATGCCTTCAATATAGTGAATGTTTCTGTCAGGGGATATGAGTCTTTCCATCCATCAATTTTACGTTCATATAAGTCATTTTCTAACCTGCCATCCATTATTGGGTCCACACTGATCTTTTTGTGCTTATGATACTTAATGTCCACAAATAATTTTCACTGCCTAGTGTGCTAAGGTGCTAAAAACAGAGAAATAAATAGGAATGAAGAGTTCCTGTCCAATGGCCGAGGCAACAGCAGCTACAGTGTATTTCAGTGTGAGGCAGTTCCGATCCCCCCGTTAGATGGCAATGGCATCCCCTTCCCTGTCGTGAGTCAAAGCTGTCCCCAGACATTGCTAAGTCCCCTGGAGGACAGAAACCACCCCGGCTTGAGTTTGTACCCTCTGCCTCTGGTTACTTTGAGCTGGGGGCTGCCTTAGGTAACACTGCGTGGTCTCTTGCCTCTTAGTATTTTGACTGTGAGCTCATCTCATGCTTCCAGGGCATTCAGTGTGAGTTTGTATTTCAGCCTGGTGTCCTCACCACACCTGCTGGCTGAAATATCCCAGAGCTTCCTTAGCTGTTCCAGCATGCGCCTCCTTCCTTTTCGGTACCGTCAGCCGTCAGCGTCTTGATTCCTTTCCTGTGGGTCCACCTCCCCTGATAAGTGTTCCTTTTGTTTACAGTTGTGCTCAAGTCGCAGGGCAGGGAACTCGGGAGTCACAACCTGTGCCCCAGCTGCCATTGACATGTCAATTCAAACAGTCAAATAGTGAAAAGCAGAAAAAATATATTGATCCACATTGGGAAGAGGGTGAAGAGACCCAGTGATCCTACCACGTCCATCCTCATTGTGAAGTGAGATTTAAAGAGCTAGGGATCTCACCACCCATCATCATCTGGGTGATGGTCTCCAACAGGTGGTCCAGCAGACTGTCAGCAGTATGTGAAATCTACTTCTGGGAGGCAAATTCCCTCTCTGGTTGGTGTCAAGTACAGCCTTTTTCTTCTCCTAGCATGAGCATCCTGAGGAGAGGAGAATTCTAGTTTCTTGGGTCCGTTGTTTCAACAGTCAGATGGAGGAGGACAGAGGTTCGCTAGAAGAAAGCATGAGTCTGGGCTGGGAGACGGGATGGGCAGCCATTGCTCACACTGGCTGGCTCACAGCCTGACTCCTAGGCTGCCACTGTCCTTTTAATGATTCTATACTGACGCTGGAACGGAAGGTCCTTTCTTCTCAAATGTCTTGTCATTAAGATAATAAGAAAACAGTAACTCCGATGTTTTCTCCCATGGTTGCTGACACATGCCTCTGGAACTGGTTTGTGGGAGGAATCTGAAATGATTTGGAGTTGTGGGTTAGAGACCCCCCCAGACTGATGTATATAGAGCCCGTGGATCACTGTGGTGGCAGCTTAGGGGGCCAGAGTGACCCTGCTTCTGAGTTCCCAGAGTGGAACAAGGACTCTCCTGGGATAACCAAAGAAGCTCATTGAACCTGAAGCTCGGGGTCAGCCGGCATGGAGAAAGCAGTTGCACTTGTTAAACAGATGGGCCCTTAGCAGAAACCAGGACTTAACTGCTGGGGCATTAGGAAAGGTGTCTTAAGGGCAAAACCCTGTGGGTGGAAAGCTCCATTTCAAATTCATTTGAAAAGAGAGTGCTTGAACAGAGAGTGCCTGGCTGGAACAGGCTGTTCAGGGTAGTGGTTTTCCAGGCTTAACCTCAAAGGCACACAGAGAACACTGCATCTGTGGTCTAAGTGGGACAGGCTACATCTGAGCTGGCAGCGGAACCTGACTTTACTCACAGGCACGTAAAGTGCAAGAGTTACAGGGCCATAGAGGCATGCATTGAGGCTGCACAAAGCTGTGAAACCAGCAAACACATTGTCAGGGGCAGAGTCCATTGATAGGGCTCTTGAGCGGGCCTGTGGGAAGGTGAAGCCTCCGCTGCAGTGGTGACCACAGGCTATTGGGGATGGCAGAAATATGGGACATTTACTGAGGAAAGTTGTAGACACTAGTGGAGCTGATCAGACCACACACACCACTTGCGACAGAGCTGGAGGGGCGGGGCTAACCAGGCCCACTGCAGTACCGAACTCTTCCCTGCAGGATCTGTGTCTGCCCTGCTGGGTTTTGGTCATGCTTTGGCTCAGTTTTCCATGCTGAGCCCCTATTCTTCCCTCTGGGAAGAGAATGTTCACACTAGGGTACTGTATGCATTTTTTAAATTATAGGGGCTCACAGACAGGAGACAGCCTTGAGTCTGTCTCCCAACTTTGAACTTCTGCGGAACTGTAAGACTATGAGGACTTTTCAAGATAGATTGAATATATTTGTATTGGTTTAAATATTAAGGCCACTCCACGTAGTTAAAAGGGAGGTTTATTTTGTGGGGTAACTTACAAGTGAAGGGATAGGTAACAGGGTCTGGGAAAGGTGTAGTGCAGTCCAGCGGTGTTCTCTGGAGAACTCTGCTCAATCTACCTCCAGCGTCCAGGATCCAGGAACCAAGAGAGCCGGCCCATCTGGATCTCGGGTCTTCAGGGGTCCTCTCTTGGCTCCACCTTGTAGGCGTGACAGTTACCGAAGCCTCAATGGGGGTGGCACTTCCAGGTCAAAGCTGGGCCAGCTACCCACTACACACTTGCATTGTGAGATGGCCATGAACCTGGGGGGCAGATATAGACTATGCTGGGTTGGATAGGAAATGTCCTCGGTAGGCTCATGTGTTTGAACACATTTCCAAGCTGATGGTGTGGCTTTGGAGACTGTGAAACTTTCAGGTAAAGGCTGTTAACTAGAGGAAGTTGGCTGCTGGGAATGGGCCTTGTGGTTTAGTGCCTGGCCAGCCTCTGCCTGGTCTCTGCCTCTTGGCAAGATAACTACCCCAGGCCACAGCACTGCCTCTTGCCCTGCTTCCCCAGTCACACACACCACGTGGAAGCCAAGTAACCAATACAGAGAGCATCTTCTCAGCAAAGCCTGCTTGTGCTCTGCCCCAAGGAGAATCCCAGTGTGTTGCATAATTTTAAAACTGGTGTGTTTACATTAAGCTATGCACAACACCTGGTACAGATAAATGAATGCAAGTGAAATTATTCACTGAAACATTAGGGGAGGTAAATGCTTACCATCCAAAATAATCTTCACAGGATGTTAGCTCTTTGGGAGGGACAGCTACAATTACCTGCAGTAACAGTTTCGTGTAATAAAAATGGATTTGAAATCATCCAGACTTGAGTCCAAATTCTGGCTTCAACATTTAAAGCTATGGTTTTGAGAAAGTTCTTTGCCCTATTGATTTGTGATCCTCCATTTTTTCCCCTTAGCTACAAAATGCAGAGGAAAACATCTAGGCATGAGCACTTTATGTATGTGTGGGTAAACGTGTGTGTATGGGTGCCAGAGGTCAACCTTGGCATATCGTTCTCTGGGATCCAGTCATCTTGTTATTTATTTAATGTGCATGTGTGTTTTGCTCGCACCACGTATGTGCAAGAAGCCAGAAGAGGAAGTCAGATCCCCTGGAACTTGGGTTGTGAGCCACCGTGTGGGTGTTGGGAATTGAACCCAAGTCCTCTGAAAGAGCATTCAGTGCTCTCAACCTTGTTTTTTTTTGGGGGGGAGGAGGGGGTGCGATAGGGTCTGCCACTGGCCTAGAACTTGCTGAGTTTGCAGGCTGTCCTGTGAGCTCCAGGGATCTGCCAGTCTCTGCATCTTCAGTTCTCAGATTCTGGACCACCAAATGCAGGTTTGTTCTGTGGCTTGTGGGAATCTGACTTAGGTCCTCCAGCCCACTTGGCAAGCAGTTTACCGACTGAGCTAGCTTCCCAGACCCTGGGCATGAACAATCTAAGCAGTAAAGCAAAATACAGAGCTCAGGAATTGCTTTGTGGGTGGGGATGACAAAATGATTCCAGTCTGGTGGAGCCAGGAGTCATTGACCTGCTTTTCTTTTCTACTGTATAGATCCTGACAGCTGTTCTGACGTATCCTGTGCTCAGGACCGTTAGCCTCTGGTTCCACTCCTCCCTCACTAGGAGCTATGTCTCTGGCACTTACTCCATCGTTTTTGTCAACTATCCCAATGAGCAAATTGCCAGAGATGTTGCCAGGTACGTGCAGGGGCTAAGTGATGCCCGAAATGCGTGGGAAGCTGGCAGGTACTCCCTAAGGGCCACGCTGTAGCCATTCTCTTGCTTTTGGCAACCCTTTCTGTCCACTGATTAACTCCATACTTTCTGCTTGGGGTGGGATGAGGAACCCATTGGATGATCCTGCTCAGAGTGATCCAGGACTGATCTTTCTCGGAATGATCCCAGGGCTGGTCTTTCACTATGCTAGAGAAGTTAAGTAATTGATGGGGCAGAAAAGGAACATGAGACCCACAGAGATCGGTGGCTTTTTTGAGGCTTTAAAAGAACTGTGAAAGTCTACACGGGGACAATTTAAACCCTCCACGGCCCTGCTGGGTTCAATTTAAGCACGCTGTGCTGCCAGTGCTACGGTTTTGGGTCTTGGTAACAGTGAATAGTCCCTGTGCCTAAGTGAGGACTGTGCCAGCTCCAATTCCCACATTTTTACTTCATTAATTACTTGCCAAGATCCTCACCTACAACTTCATTAACATAAAACTTTCAGGGTTAGGTTTCCAACATAAGAATTCTCAGCTGGGCAGCGGTGGCCCATGCCTTTAATCCCAGCACCCGGGAGGCAGAGGCAGGCGGATCTCTGTGAGTTCGAGGCCAGCCTGGTCTACAGAGTGAGTTCCAGGACAGGCACCAAAACTACACAGAGAAACCCTGTCTCGAAAAACCAAAAAAAAAAAAAAAAAAAAGAATTCTCAGGCATACATAAAGCAGAACAGGGGAAGGACATCCTAAATGATTGGTTACTTAGATATTCTCAGAAATTCCCATCCCTTCTCTTAAAACCTTGGATATGCTCCAGTGGTCACCCACTCTCTTTGCTCTAGGGCCATACTGGATAAGAAGTTGGCAGCTTCTGTGAACATCTTGCCTAAGACATCTTCACTGTGAGTTTTGCCAAGGCTAGTGGAAGGGAGTTGGGAGTGTTAAGGTTAGGTCCTGGATGAGAGAGAGAACATGCAACAAATGGTGAGCTGTCAGACAATGTTTCAATGGCATTTAATCAACACTTCACAGGTAACTTGCATTCAGAGATTATGTTTATTATCAATTTATGTCACCTAAGGAAAGCAAAAAAAAAAATTGTAGTATATAGAGAAAGGAGGGAAAAGTCATGCTGTTTGCTCAACTGCTCACATCGTCTTGAGCATGGCTCCCTAACTTGGCTTTACTTTTGATCTCTGAGCATGTTGAATTAGTCTCTCTGAGGCTGAGGCCTAAGTTTCTGAATCTTTAGAATGTTCTCCAGAGGCTTATGAATGTAGCTCAGTGATAGAGTGCTTGCCTAACATGCATAAGGCCTTGGGTTTGCTCTCCAGCATAACAAAAAGGGAAGAGACGAGAAGGGATGGCGGGAGGGCTAGTGGAGGGAAGAAGAAAGGGAAGGAAAAAGGAAGGAAGGAAGGAAGCAAGGAGACCTCGTGTGAAATCTTAAGTCAGGAAGCCATCTTCAAGCACTAACCTTCAGGAATGCACTGGTAGGTGCTAAATGTATTTGTTAGAGTGGCTGGACAAATTGACCTGTGGGGCCTTGACCACTCTAGACTTCTTTTATGGGTGTCTTAGTTAGGGTTTCTATTGCTTCAGTGAAACACCATGTCCAAAAAGCAAATTGGGAAGAAAAGGTTTATCTGTCTTACAAAGGAAGTCAGGACAGGAACTCAAACAGGGCAGGAACCTGGAGGCAGGAGCTGATGCAGAGGCCATGGAGGGGGCTGCTTATTGGCTTGCTTCCCATGGCTTGCTCAGCCTGCTTTCTTATAGAACCCAGGGCCACCAGCCCAGGGATGGCCCCACCCACAATGGACGGGCCCTCCCACAACAGTCACTAATTAAGAAAATGCCCTAGGGCTTGCCTTCAGCCCAGTCTTACGAGGCATTTTCTCTGGTGAGGCTCCCTCCTCTCTGATGACTCTAGCTTGTGCCAGCACAATGGGTTTGGGGAAGATTGTAAAGCCTCCTCTTCAGTAATTTACCTCCTTGGGCAGGTTTGACAATTTGCCAGACTCCTCCTGTGGCTGTGACAACTTGATTTTGTTCTCTTCTCTAGGTACTTTTGGAAGGGAGAAATAGAAGAATCCACTGAGATCTTGTTGGTAAGTGAGGATAGGGGCAGAGGAAGTTTTAATAGGACAATAGTGACATCAGGGCCATTTTCCAGATTCTAATTAGAAATTAGCAATGAGGCTGGGGTATAGCTCAGTCATGACTTCTTAAGTTCAATCCCCACAGAGGAAAAAATTAGCACCGATCAACTGATTGAGGCCCTTGCCCCACCTAAGATGTCTGAGGTTCCTTAGCAAGCGAGTGACCTGGTCTGGTGGCCTGGGAGGAAATGCTAAATTCCAAATGAATGGAGGGTTGAGCTGGGGTTCGGGTCCCAAATTGCTGATTAATTTTACTCCTGTCACAGCTAATAAAGACAAAGACTTCCAAGGTCTCCAGGCTGTCCACCTACATGAGGTAAGGCTTCTCACTCATTCCTCAGGACCAGACCAGGATGTTCTGGGCACTGAGAGAATGAACCTGGGAAGTGGGAGAACTGGGGGTTAGCCACTGCCTCCCATGAGACTCCTTGTTCTTCTTTCTCTCACGTTCTCCACCTGGACGACAGAGAGTAGAGTGAGATGGTTTACACTGGTGGATTCAAACATCAGTCTCAGGGTCTTTCCATAATTTAAAAATATTATTCAGACTCACAAAAGCATCATGGGTTAATTTCTAGCTTGTTCCCAGTAATGCAGTCCCAAAGCTCACACTTGAGTCTCAGCGGTTCACAAAGAGAGGTCTCTTTTACCTCTGAGGTCTCTAAGACTTTGATGAAGTCCATGAAAGTTAACCGTTTCAGTCATAATTGCTAAGGATTTTGAAAACCGTTTTTAGCTTACTTAACAATAAAGCTATTATATATTAATAACACAAATACCATATTTTTACAAAAAGTAGTCATATTTTTCCAAAACCAAGAAGTTAAGGAGAAAATGGCATTATTCGCATTTTGCAAATTGTGACTTCATAAGATAACTGCTAGGGAAGGTTTTGAGTCTACACTGATAAGTTCAAGGATTCAAAATTTAGAATTTTTGCTTGCAAATAATCCTCTCAGTGTAATAAGGGAGTTGCCCCTTCTACCTCCAGTATTGGAGATGGGATCTTATGTCATTTCAGACCTACTGAATGGAACTGCATTCCAATAATCATACCTAGTGATTCTTGTCTACATTACCACTTGAAACTGGTCTAACCAGTGGCCTCAGTGCTGGCCATGTGTTAGAACACTTGGAGATATTTTTCAAATGTCCAATATAAGTACTACCTCATGGATTCCAACTTGGTTTGACTGTGTGGGGATCAAATGCATCATCATCATTATTATTTTATTCTTCTGTCATACTTTACATCCCAACCACATTTCCTCTCCTTCCACTTCTCCCAGTCCGCAACCCCCCCCCCCCCCAACTTGCCCTCTCCCTCAGATCCACTTCTCCTCCATTTCCCTTCAAAAAAAGAGCAGGCCTCCCAGGGATATCAACCAAACATGGCATAACAAAGTTACAAGAAGACTAGACACAAACCCTCATATCAAGGCTGGATGAGGCAATCCAGCAGGAGGAAAAAGGGTCCCAAGTGCAGGCAAGAGTCAGAGACACCTACTCTCCCAATGTTAGGAGTCCCACAAGAATACCAAGCTATACAACCATAATGTATATGCAGAGGACCTATCTCAGACCCATACAGGGTCCTAGTTTGCTGCTTCCATCTCTGTGAGCCCCTGTGAGCCCTGCTTAGTTGATTCTGTGGGTTTTCTTGTGGTGTCCTCGACCCCTCTGGCTCCTACAATCCTTCCTCCCCCTCTTTTGTGGGGTTCCCAGAACTCCACCTAATGTTTGGTTGTGGGTCTCTGCATCTGCTCCCATCAGCTGCTGCAGGAAGCCTCTCTGATGATGACTGGGCTAGGCACCCATCTATGACTATAGCAGAATATCATTAGAAATCATTTCATTGACTTTTTTTTGCCAGTCTTGTTTAGTTCTATCCTGGGTCTCTGGGCCGTCCTGCCTCTGGGTCCTGGTGTGGACTCGCTCTCGTGGCATGGGCCTCAAGTTGGACCAGTCATGAGTTGGCCACTACCACAAGTTCTGCACCACCATTACTGCAGCACATCTTGCAGGCAGGGCAGATTGTAGGTGAAGTATGTTGTTCTTAAGTAGCATCCCAGGCTGACTGTAATGTGCAGCCTGGGCTACAAGCCCTTGCTCTGCATGATAAAAGTCATTTCCTTCACATCTCAAGGAAACTAGGATTTTGTGGCCATATAGCTGTAGCTGAGTCTCAATTCTAACTACAGAGATGGCCCCTTTGTTACCACATCAGCAGAGGTGAGGGAATGAGGCACCTTAGTTGAACCAAAACTGTAACCTGTGAGGGACAGCTTCTGGGTTAGGAGAGAACTCCAGAGTGCTGCTTCTTCTTATGTTGAAATGTTGTAGAATATTAGTTTAAGCTGTGTTACTTTTGTTTATGTTGCATTTGTTTAACTGTGTGAAGCTGTGTTACTGTGCCTGTCTAAAACAACTGACCGTCTAATGAAGAGCTGAACGGCCAATAGTGAGGCAGGAGAGAGAAATAGGTGGGGCTGACAGGCAGAGGGGATAAATAGGAAAAATCTGGGAGAAAAGAAGTGGCCAGAGAAGGAGGAGAACTCCAGGGGTCAGCCACCCAGCTACACAGCAAGCCACAGAGTAAGAGTAAGATTTACAGAAGTAAGAGAACGGAAAAAGCCCAGAGGCAAAAGGTAAACGGAATAAGTTAAGGAAAGCTGGCAAGAAACAAGATAAGCTAAGGCCAAGCATTCATAAGTAAGAATAAGCCTCCGTGTGTGATTTATTTGGGAATTGGGTGGCAGGCTCCCCCCAAAAGAGTAAAGAACAAACAAACAAACAACAATGTTGAAGTCTGGCTTCCTCTTGATAGTTGTACCATAGTGCTTGTATTAGCATATTTTTGCCTCATCTATCTATAAAATGGGTATCAAACTACCAGGTTGTTATACATATTAGAATATATGAAGTATACCTATGAAGCGTTTCAATGTTCATCTTACTGCTAAAATGCCAGATTCTTTGAATTCTATGTCTGTTTATAAAAAGAAGATTCTGGTCTCAGTGTCCATGAGATAAGATTATTATTATTATTATTATTATTATTATTACTTTTTAATGGTGGCACTCACACCTTTTTTTTTTTTTAGATTTATTTATTTATTATGTACACAGTGTTCTGTCTGCGTGTATGCCTGCAGGCCAGAAGAGGGTGCCAGATCTCATTACAGATGGTTACGAGCTATCATGTGGTTGCTGGGAATTGAACTCAGGACCTCTGGAAGAACAGTCAGTGCTCTTAACCTCTAAGCTATCTCTCCAGCCCCGAGATAAGATTATTATCAAACCGATAGTCTTCAGGTTCTGAATAAACCAGTCCTACTTGCTGTAAATGCTACAGTACTTATATAATACTATGGTTAGTTAAGCATGTTATCTCATGAGAACTTCCCAGTGGCTCTCCATTGACCAGAAAGTAAGCAAAGAATCATCATGTTCATCTGACACATGAGAGACTGACGAGGAGAGAACCGGCATTGTGCACTGAGTGTCAGGTGAATTAAGCAGAGGAAGGTGACTGAGCCAGGCTTGCCCTCAGGGCCCCGTGGGGGAAGGTCAGGGATTGTTTGGCCATAAGGCTCAAGAAAAGGGATTTTGGTTGTTCAGCAGGAGCAGTGAGGACTTTGTAGGTAGGAAGGAATTTATAGGCTCTGGAGAAGGGGCAGGAAGACACAGCGATGTGTATGGATTGGAGGTGAGAAGTGAACATGAGTGTGTACACTGCTGGTCACTAGCTAAGTGCTTTGGACACCCTGTCCCAGCTAGTCCTCAGCAATCCAGCCAAAAAGGTGTTCATATTCCCCTTCAGAGAAATTAAATGACTTATCTACAGTCACAGAACTAATAAGGGCAGACATAGAATTTGAACCCATATGTCTAAGATTCTAAAGCAGCAGTTCTCAACCTGTGGCTTGAGATTCATAACAGGAGCAAAAATAGAGTTATGAAGTAGCAACAAAATAACGTTATGGTTGGGGTCACCACACCATGAGCACTGGGAAGGCTGAGGACCACTGTATTAAATCGCTGCAGCACTGGGAAGGCTGAGAACCACTGTATTAAACCGCTGCAGCACTGGGAAGGTGGAGAACCACTGTATTAAACCGCTGCAGCATTGGGAAGGCTGAGGACCACTGACCTAAGGGCACTGAGCCAACCCAGCACCCGTTGAATGGGAAACAGGCTCAGGCAGGCTGGACCACGGCATTAAGCAGTGAGCTGGAGCAGCTTGTAGGGGCCTCCAGAGAGCCCGTGGGTTGGGTTTTATCATGTCATAGTCACTCATTAGAGCTCTGCTTTCTTTCCAAAGGTTGGCTCATCCTTTTGAAATCCCAGAGGTCTTCAGTATTCCCATGGACCAAGGAGATGCTCGCTATTTAAAGTGGCTTGAGGAGGGCATGAAGGAGAACTAAGCAGAGAGACCGCACAGGCTGCTGGCTGGCTGGCAGGCCTTTCTTGACTGTGCTCTGGGGAAGGCAGGCCTTCTTCCACCTCCCTAGGGGGTTCCTGACGGCGCAGAGGTGACCTGTGCATGCTGACTGAAGGACTGAGAATTTCAAGACTGGGGGTGAAGGCCAGCCAGGCCTGTGAGAACCAAGTGGAGCCTGTGTCCGCCAGAGGGTGTGACGGTGATAATGCAGGGACCGAGGGGAGGTGACCGTGAGGGCACTGGGCCTACCATAAGTGCCCCGGGTGTAATTGATCCTCTGCTTCTCGTAGGGACAGAGGGCCTTCCTCACCTAGGTGTGTGTGGGATAAATGTCTTCTAAAAACACTGACATGTGCTCTGTTCAAAATGATGAATCATAGTGGTAGAGTTTCAGGGGTCAACAGAATTTTCTTGTTAGAGAGGCTTTTGTTGCTCCTGAACTTGCAGAGGTGAGGCTGGGAAGGGGCTTCTTGAGCCTATACAGGCTAGGGGAATATTAGAGTTTCAACACAGCCTTGTGGGCTGAGAATGTCTTGACTTAATATAATAGACATGCAAAGAAAGACCCTGGAGACCTAGGTTCTCAGCCCTTGGCACCTGCTAGGCCAGGGTTTTTCAGATCTGCTGTACAGAGCTTCTAGGGCTGGCAGAGAAACCCCTGAACTTCTGGAGGAATGTAGCCCCCATCCACATCCCAAGTGGAGGTGGCAGAAGTGTGTCAATTCCCCCATTGATATACAGTATCAAGAAAAACTTCACTTCATGGAATTCCGTACAGGGAGGCATGCTGAACTACAGTCTAGCCTCGGTTTCTCATCCCATGCTGAGGGCTCTCTACACCTGTCCCAAGGATCTCTGGTGAAGGGAACAATGGACATGGGGATGCTGAGCCCAAGGCCATGAAAAGGGAGAGTTGAACCAGGCCCTCTCCATGAATCTCACAAGGTAACTCCATGATGGGGGCACCCATAGGGAGCTGGAGTCAGGATCCAGACAGCTATGGTGTCCTGGTTTCTTCTGTGGGGCGGGGTGTTGTTAAATACACCAGGTAGAACCAGGTCCTAGTTCTGATAGCTGCTGTGTGTCTCCCACCTTGTGCCCCAAATAGCAGATGTTGAAGGGTCTCCAAGGGCCATCAGTGAGAACCTGATCAGGACTGAGGCCCTTCCAAAGGGCCAGAGAATTCCACTGGTAGTTTTAAGGGCTGAGGAACGGAGATGTCCTTGGTCTTAAAGCCCAGTTCTGAGGTATCTACAAGTCTTGAAAACCCTACTTAAGATGTACTCAGGACCCTGATGTACCATCAGGGTTGCTTCCCTAGAAGCAAAGCCCAGTTTCTAGATCTTCCTTCCTTCCTGTTCCGATCACGTCTCAGTGCACCTCACTGTGCACTGTCCCTGTGTTCATATGTCCTTTCCACCTGGTGTCACTCCTCTGAAAAGCCTCACTTCAGGCTGGATCATGAGGTGCTGGAGGTCAGAAGCATGTCTGAATCTTGTTGTTTCTTGCACAAGGTTTGGGAATTATTTCCTAAGTTGACATTTCAGTTTCAAGGGTTTAAATAAACAAAGCTTTCTCTATAACATGGAATTTACTTTTAAGTTTTGAAATAGGCAAAATATCTATTTTTCTCTTGAATTTTCTTAAACTTTAAGAGATTTTTACACCTGTGGCCTTCATTAGTTCACTTTCAGGGCTCTGTATGCCATCACAGAAACTTTCCTGGTGACCTATCTGCTGCTGAGTACAGGAAATGGGAGAGAGGGGTACTTACTGAACTGTTTAGGAAGCTTCCCATCTTGCCTTGTAAGTTAGGCTTATTTGTTATCATTTTGCTGATGAAATCTGAGGTCAGAGGGCATAAGCCACTGAAGAGGAAAGTGAGGATGTAGACTGGAGTCTGATTCTAAACCTAACACTCCTAATGCTTTTTGTTCAGAGGTGAGTCAGTCTCCCAAAAGGCCACAGATTCAGAAAATCTACTGTAGCCATCTGCGAAGAAGTTACTGGTCTTTAAGGCTTCTGTCTGTCAGCCTGACAGTTGTCCACCCATTGCGCTGTTTCTTCCTTGCCATAGATCTGGAGGGTGTGACTCACACCATGGGTAAACACAGAGCAATTTAATGACCCACCACCATCCTACACTGTCATCCCCAAATGAGGCTGTTGAAGGCAGGCTGGCCCTAGACTAGTGTCTCCATGTGGGAAGTCCCTTCCAGCAGCTCTCAGGATTCCCAGAGTCTCTAAAAATGCAACTGTGGAAATGAGGAAAAACATATCTACCTTCTAACAGCTAAATCTTATGAGGACACAGACACCTCTGTCAAAAGAATCCCTTCATCTGGATGTGATGGCAGAGCCAATAATCCCAGCCCTTGGGAGGTTGAGGCAGAACAACCCTGAGTTCAAGGCCAGCTACTAGGGAGACCCTTTCTCAAAAACAAAACAAACAAACAAAAACAAAACAGAAAACGAAACCAAACCACTTTCATCAAGTAGAGAACAAAAGCAGGTAACATCCAAGTGCTGAGCGGAAGCGGGAGCCTAACCAGGACGGTAAGGAGAGGCCACCGACATCCAAGCTACGGGCCTTGTTTGGGGTCGTTGCCATGGCAGCCAGTCTGCTGCTATCGGTGGGTTTTCTTTACAAATAATTTTATATACACAGTGTGTGCTTTATACAAACTCTGAGAATATTGTTCCAAGAAATAAACTTTGGAAGCAAAAGGACCACTGAGGGTGGAATTCAGACACACGGTTATCTTCTGTGCTGTTCAGTTCATACACCCAAATGCTGTGACATTAGAATGCTATCCAAATGATGTGCCCTGGTACCCTCCAGGCAACAGTTCTTTATTAGGAGTACTAACAAAAAGGCTTAATATGCCTCATTACTCAACAATTTTCAGGTAAATATAATGAGGAAAGGAATATGAAGGACAAAATATTTTAAGACCAACATGATTTGGGGAATTTCTGAGAATTCTAATTTATTCCTAAATCCTTTCTTTCTTTTTTCTTTTCTCTGTCTGTCTCTCTTTTGGTTTTTCAAGACAGGGTATTTCAGTGTAACAGCCCTGGCTGTCCTGGAACTCGTTTTGTAGACCTTGTCTCTGCCTCCCAAGCGCGTGCACCACTGTGCCTGGTTTATTCCTAAATCCTAAGGATAAATGTTTGCTGTTACTTCAATTCCTATTCTTGCAGGCAATAAGGGTGGGAACCCTGCTGGGAGTGTGTGTACAGAGAATGCAGGGGTGGCTGGGTGGCCAGAGGGCTGGCCTCACCATCCCCAGTCTGGCCTCCAGGAAGCCAAGAACAGAACATGCAGGCTTTTCCAAGGACATGTCTACACTATAAACCAGACACAATTATAACTTTAATATAACAAATATTATTAAAAGCAGCAATTCAAAACCAAAATCTTTTCAAAGGTGCACAGGGTTATACTGTCAGTTGGCAGTAATGCAGCCATTATCTTGTGGGAGGGAAATGCTGGTGTGAGGAGTCGGGTGACCTGGTCGGCCTTGTGCTCGCTTTCCCAATGGGACAAGCACCCCACTCCCCCTGCGTGCTCCTCAGGCCCAGCAGGGAAGGGCAGATATACAATGGCCAATCTTGCTCTCTGGCTTTCCCAGCAGCCTAGAAAGCAGATGTTGGAGGTTGGCATGCTCACTGAAGCCAACCGGAAGCCACAAGTCTGAGCCCAGTTCCCACACTCCTGCTGGCTTGGGAGTTGGCTTCACAACTCTTCTACCTGGCCCCACTTGGGGACCTCAGTGACAGCAGCTGTGAGACTGAGAACTGGGACCAGTGCCCATCTGCTCATCCTTGCCTCAGACAAGACAGGGAAGCAGAGGGAAATGGGTGGCTGTGTCCACAGTGAGAGGCGATGTCCCTTTGCAAGGCACTACACTTGCGGACTTAAGGCAAGGGCCATCTAACCTTACTTCTGGGACGCCCTGAATGCTCACAGGCAGGTGTGGCGGGGTCAGGCCTAGTCGTGGAAATATCAGCCCCTCTGATAGAGGTCTGATGTCCCCATACTGTTCATCTTCACCTTCCAGCTGGCAGTCTGCAGAACCCTGCCCAGCTGGAAGCCACAGCAGCAGTTAGTGAGGCTGGTCCCAATCTGGTGCCCCCCGCCTCCCAGCCCAAAGGCACTTCTTTCCACTTTCCAACCAAGTGAGTCAGTTTCTAATATTTCTGCAGGCAAAATAAGGGCTCCTTGCCCACCTCCTAATTTTGGTTTCCCTCCAGATGGGGATGTTTGTCCCTTCTAAGAATTCTGCTTATACCATCAATGACAAAGGCTTCCTTTCTGAAGGGAACGAATGATTCAGGCCCTTGAAAAAACCCAGCCTGTCCCCAAAGTGATTGTCAGTTCCAGGGCGAGGCAGGTGCTATGTAGGAGAGGGGAATCTTTTGTGCTTCTTTGTGGGGTCAAGGCTGGTTTACAGGTCAGAGGGGGCAGGAGTTTGGTTTTCACATTTAATTGCAGCATGTATCCCTAGAAGAGGCCAAGGACAGGAGCCAGAGTGTCTGGAGGTAATGGGGATGTGTGACTGTGTGTGTCTATGCGCACAGTGGTGTGGTGTTGGACTGTGTGATGAGTCTGGGATTTAATCCAACCTGGCTTGGCTCCCATCATTTCCTCTGAGATCTAAGAACACCTCTATGCAGCAAGGCCAGGCTCCACTCCATAACAGTGAAGGAGTATTACTGGGACCCTAAGAGCTGACTCCTATAGTCTCCCCTCTGAGCCTCAATAAAGGACCCTGCTGCTGGTCCCTTCAGCAGAGACCCAGCTCATCACTCCCCAGGCTCTGGGTCCCAGGCACTCTAAACGCTCTCAGATACCCTCCCAACCTTCCTGGCGTTAGGGGTACTGGTGAGAAAGTGGAAGACCTCAGGACTTCCCTTCTCTCAGTGTGGTCCCAGTGACAACCCAGTGAAGGCTATCCAGTGAGGGGCAGATGCACACGTGCACATGGAAGATGTCTGACCACACCAAACACCCAAAAGGGGTGAGGTAAAGGGTGGCGAGTTGGGGATCGTGAAAAACAGGTCAGGCCTCAGGACCATGAAGGGTCACAGCCAGGGTTCCTTGGAACCAGAGGAACCAATAAACAGTTTGAGGGGTATGGAGTGTACAGACAATGAGAAGAGTCAGCGGGCTCTTAGAGACACAGGCAACCGGGACAGCAGCACCCAGGCCTTGGCCTGGCGGGCAGCATGCGGGGGCTACAGCTAGGCCCTTATGGCTCTGTTTCTGTCCTGCTGCCCTCCACCACCCAGCCTGGAGAAAACAGGGAGCTGGTGGCTTCTTCTGTCCCTCCTTTGGTTTCTAGGGATCTAGGCAGCCCCTGAGGGGTAATCAGTAAGGGGTAGTCCCTTCCCATTCCAACAGGTACTGAACCTTGCCCTCTGGTGTGACCCTCCGAGCCAGCACTTGATACTTCTCCCCACAGGCCAGCCTCCCAGCTGCGCCGAAGTAGTTGGTGATAGATGACTTGAGGTGGGACAAGGAGGAGTCGTCTTCACTGATGCTTTCCAACGTGTGGCTGTCAATGCCTTTGTCTGGCTGCTCTGGGCCCAGAGCTCCCTCCGCACTACTGTCTGAGGGGCAGCGTCCATCCAGGTCAGCTGCCTGACGCTTTGCCCTCAGGGGCATGTACGTCTTGACTGCCAACTTCCTCTTGCGGCTGCCTACTGTCCATCTGTATCAGGAGGGGAAGAGGGATGGGTTGAAACCATCATTGGGTTCCTCAACCTGAGAGTCTACTCTTAGGCACAGTGCCGGACCCTGGGCGGGGATTGTCTTGCTGGAACTTTACAGTAGTCCTGTAATAGGGAAACTGAGGCTCCAGAGAAGAAATCAGCTGGGGGAGGACCAAGGCCAGGATTCAAACCTGGTTATGTTCAACTTTGAAACATGTTCTTTGTATCTGGAAGGGTGGGTCACTCTTGTATGTTTTGAAGTCCCACAGTCCCTTGTTTAGGCTGTCTGGGACAGGAACTGAAGGACCTTGTACCACATAGGAAGGGTGTTAGGAAAACAGGCATGAGACAAGCTGCACATGAATGGATGGGGAGATGTATCTGCCATGTGAAGAACTAGTGTCTGCACTAATGAGAAACCAAAGAAACAGGAAGACTCGGGGTGTATAGCTCAGTGACAGAGTGCTTCTCCAGTGTGCATGAAGCTCAGGTTTAACCCTTAGAACCCAAACTAAAGCTACAGAGGCATCAGCAGAGAAAGACACACAGCCAGAGACATGTGAAAGCAGGGAAGGGTTTCCACAAAGTCCCACACACCCTGCAAGATGGAGGAGCCCGAGTGCAGAGGGGGCCATGCCCAGCAGTAAAGCAGGCTATACCCTTGGCCAGACCCCCAGGGTCTTTTGCTTCCCCTTATAGTCTGCCCCTCTACTATGCTTAAAATAAATTTTCCTCTTAGAGACCCTGAAATACAAATCAGACATCCAGGAGCTGAGAACAGGAGCCCCGTGGTCTGAGACCCAGACACAGTTATAGCGCACAGAGGCCAAGATGCCCAGAATGAAAAGGACTCTGTTCAAACAGCCCCAGAATTGGATTGCAGGCAAAGAATGTCCCAAGCTACCTTCCACCCTGGTGACTTGGAAAAGAGGGTCCAGAGCAGATTCAATCACAGAAGACCAGCACCCCTCCCCGACTTCTCAGAATAAGTCTTCATCCAGCAGTGGGAAGTAGATGGACTGGGGACTGCTGTCCCTGGCAAAGCTCCACAGTAGGCCTTCAGGAAGCTCACCTGGAGTCATAGGAGAGGCTGGTGGAGGCCGAGCCGGAGGTGCTGGCAGCGTCGGTGGAGTCCACATCTGAGAAGAGGATCTGGCCTGAGCCGGCACTGAGAGGGAGAGAAGACAAGCCTGCTGCTGGCCCGGCTCAGCAACACCTACCTCCCTGGCCCCCAGGGTCCCTTGGAGCCCCTCCCCTCCTGTGTCTGACAGGAATCCTCTGTCCAGCAGGGGCCACCTTCTTCCTGCTGCCAGGCTCCTGACCCAGACCTTCCTGGCTTATTCCCACCCATTCAGTCTTCAAAGGTGGGAGTCAAAAAAACTTTCCCTGACCAACTGCCGCTAGTGATGGACACACTGGTGACATGGTCTATCACCCTCCCCTGGGGATGGACACACTGGTGACATGGTCTATCACCCTCCCCTGGGGATGGACACACTGGTGACATGGTCTATCACCCTCCCCTGGGGATGGACACACACACTGGTGACACGGTCTATCACCCTCCCCTGGGGATGGACACACTGGTGACATGGTCCATCACCCTCTCCTGGTGATGGACACACACACTGGTGACATGGTCCATCACCCTCCCCTGGGGATGGACACACTGGTGACATGGTCCATCACCCTCCCCTGGGGATGGACACACACACTGGTGACACGGTCCATCACCCTCCCCTGGGGATGGACACACACACTGGTGACATGGTACATGAGCCATCTGGCACTTGTGCAAAGTTTCACAGATCCAAAGTACTTGAGGAAAATGAGGTTGGGGTTAAGGAATTTGGCTAACACTGCATAGTCAGAACTGGTAAACATGGACCAGAGTGCTTATCTGTCCCTCAATCCCCTCTTCCTGCTCCACGACCAAAGAACAGTGCAACATGGTCTTCAGTGATTTTGGAAGTTAAGTGGTAAAAGATGAAATTCTTGCCCTTAAATTATCCAAATATGGGTGCTATGAGCTCTAAGCAGGCTTCCGACACAGCCTGGGAGGGCCAGTGAGGGCTTCCTGGAGGAAGCAACATCCTGAGTTTTTGGATGGGCGGGGCACAGTATTTGCAGGTAGAGGCCTCAGTATAATCACAGGTGAAGCAGTAAGAGGGCAGCCAGCGCATCTCCAGTCTAAGCTGGGAGGCAGGAAAGGGGTAGAGAGGAAGGATAGCAGGCAAGGCCTGGACCACTGCTTTGGAAGGCAGAGGGCACTGTGCTGAAAGTTGTGTACAACAGATTCCTGGGCAGCCCTGTGCATACTGGACCTTTGAACTGGAGTTTCAGAAGGCCCGTGAAGAGTGTCTACACCCTCAGGAAGTGTGCCTCTTTCATGCTGAGGAGTACAGCCTTGCCCTCGTTGGCTCTAGAGTAGCAGGTACCTCTTTAAACTCTGCATTTCATCCAGGGTGAGGTCAAATATACTGGCCAGGTGGTGGTTGGTGCTCCAGGCTGAGGTGAAGTCACTCTGTAGACATAAAGGAGACAGGATCAGTCATGGGACGACAGACCCAGTGCTCCCTAAGCAGCCTTTTCCCCAGCTGAGGGTTATATGGGGTGCCTGCTATTCAGCTAGGGCTGCTCACCCTTTGGGTAAAACCTGCCACTTCCTCTTGACTATAATCTGTGACCAGAGAGCCAAGTCACCCTGGTTTCTAGTCCTGACTGCTTCTCCGACCACCTGGATGACTTCCATCCGCCTCTCTGGGTTACCTCCACTGCAAACTTCAGAGCCCGCCTTCCCCAGAAGTCCCGGGAAGCATGGTTAGGACTCAGTGCTGTTGGGAAAGTGTACTGCAAACTGTAAAGTGCTGGAGTGCTGAGGCAGTTAACACTGTCACCCACAAGGAGAGTTTCAGTGAGGCTAATCAAAGCAAGGCAATGTGCTGAGATGGTTCCAGGCCCGGCTCAGCACTGCCTTGAAGTGCGTCATCTACAAAGCTGCTGCCTCCACACAACCTGTTGTCCCAGACTGGGACCAGGATGTTATCTACCCCTGCCCCACCCCTGTGGTCTCAGGAGAACCTGGGGCAGAGAACAGTGGTCTTAGGGTGCGCAGCCCTTCCTTGTTTCTGTTAATTGAAAGTACTATACTGGGGCATCCCTCGGGTCTGGGGACAGGACATTATCTTCTGTACAGGACCCCCTAATGTATGCTGTCCCTGCACGTGGAACTGGAGAAGAAGAAAACCGGAGACTAACACTGGGAATAGCATCTTCCAGCAAAAACTTTGCTCTCTTTCTTCTATAAACTCGCCTTTTCTGCTGCTGGGATTCATGGGGCGACAAGCTGTGGAGACAGAAGAGGGAGAGGACGGCCTAGTCAGAGTTGGGGGGCCAGGGAGAGGCCCCGAGGGAGAGGCCCCGAGTGCGAGGCCTCAGGAGTGCGGGGGCAGTGGCCAGTGTGGGGTCAGAAGGGTTCCGGCAGGGCAGAGGGAGCCTGGGAGGAGGGCATCCTCCGGGGCAGTGAATCTGTGGAGCGGCTTTAGAAAGCGGCAAAAGGAAAGCTTCCTCCTGCCCCAGTCCCCAGAGAGGAGGCTGTGCCCAGTCAGGAGAACCAGGGCATACCACACTCTTCTGAGTCCCTTCTCTGCCGTCCTAATGCAGCAGGGCTGGGTCCCAGGAAGAGGCTTCCCTGGAGCTAGGAAGTGAGGGGCCTACGAGATTCTCACTAGCTCTCCCAGGGCACCTATAGCTGGGCCCTGCTGAGTCTAGGGACCCCAGGCTTATAGTGGTGCCGCCACACTGCCTGGGCCCATTGCACAGCCTTCTCCCACCTGCAGGAGAACCCCAGCTGGCTGTAGCCACAGTCCTCCACCAGCACTGACCCGGGCTTGCTCTTTCCTCTCTTACGAAGCAGCTCAGAGGACCCTCTCTCACTTGGCATCAGCCCCCTATCGGGGAGCAGCTTTCCTGGAGGGGTGGGTGGGACGCGGACGCGCAGCCGGAAGATGCACTTCTTCTTCTTAATCTCCTTGCCACACAGGAACCTGGGGTGGGCAGGAAAGAGCCCCGGGCTATCAGCTGACCCTCCAGAGATAGGAGCTGGTAACCACCAAGGCCATTTAGCCTCTCAACCCCCAGAATGCATCCAGTCCCCAGCTGGGAATGTGGCCAGTGCCTCCTCCTCCTGCATGTATTCCCGCTGATGAAAAAAATGAATGAAGTTGGGAAACAAGAGGCAGAGAGAAGGACAGGAACCAAGAGCTGGGTACACCGGATGTGGTGGTGCGGGCTTGTAAATTCAGCACTTAGGGGGCTGAGGCAGGGAGATCAAGAGTTTGAGCCTGGGCCAGAGTGGGACCCTGTCACAAAAACCAACAAACCAACCAACCAGTGGGTAGGAGGGAGAGTGGGAAGAGGAAGAGGAGCGAGGAAGGGAGCACAGCTGGAGCAGAGGATACACGGTGGGAGGAGCCTTTAGACTGAGACCCCACCTGTCAGGATCGCAGCTCTCCCTCCCTCCCTGCACTCACCGGCTTTTGTAACTGTTGAGAGCATTGAGGAGAAGCGGTCCTCGATCTGTCACAGGGGTGCTGCTGAGCTGAGGGAAGCAGACCAGCAGGACAGTCAGCTCTCCGCATGGGGCATCTGAGGAGGTACTAGCCTGGCCCCGCCCCCAACCCCGCCCACCGCTGTCATCTGAGGCTCCAGCGTCCTCCAGGTGAGAACCTCTGACTTACAATCTTTACCTCTCTGAGCTCATTTTTCCCAGCTGTAATATAGAGGAAAACTCTGGCCCCCATGCTTCAGGAGCTTTACAGGGCTGTGGCCCAGTGGAGACTGTTTGCCTATCATGCACAAGGCCCTGGGTTCATCCCCAGCGCTGCTTTAAAAACCATCAGGAATGTCACCCTATGGGATCTATGATACAGACAGAATATGGGACACGAAGGAAATTTCACACACAAAAAACATGCCCAACCAGGGAGGCCATCAGTGCAGCCATTTAAAAGGTTATGAAAACACCAATAATCTGGAACAGCATAACACTATCTGAAAAGAGATGATCTAAAATAGCATATACTGTTTCATGTAAACCATAAAAAAGTGGGAGGGCAGGACATATCCACACTTTATTTCTAGTTATTTCTGAGTAGTGAAAATATGGATCTTCTAAAAGTATACTTCTGTTTTGATGATTTAAACTTTTCTTTCTATTAGAAACATGTATTATTTTTTTAAAAACCTATTTATTTTTATTTTATGAGTGTTTACTTGCATGTGTGTATGTGCACTGTGTGTGTAGTGGCCATGGAGGTCAGAAGAGGGTGCTGGACCCCTGGACCTGGAGTTACAGACAGTTGTGAGCTGCCATGCACGGGTGGGAATGGAACCTGGGTCCTTGCAAAGGCAGTGCACATGCTCTTAACCGCTGACTCATCTCTCTAGTCCCATGCATGACTTTTTATAAGCCAGAAAAGTTATTAAAAGAATACTCTAGGGGCTAGAGAGGTGGTTAGGAGCAACTGTTTTTGCAGAGGACCTGGGGTTGGATTTCCACCACTATCATAGGGGAAACTCCAGTTGCAGTGGACCCAACACCATCTTATGGCATCTGCAGTCACCAGGCACACATGTGGTGCATGGACATGCACATGAGCAAACACTCATTCACATTAAATAAATCTAAAAAATACCGACTTTATCTTTCTGCAGTAGTAAAGAGGACTCTGAGGGTGTCGATAGGGCATGTCTACATAGCCCCACGGAAATGGTTAGTTTGCTCTCCAGCTCTGACAGTGTCAAAGTCTCTTAGTTATGGGCACCAAGGCCCTTGGAAACGCAGTGCACAACAAGATCAGCAGAAGACAAAATACTGCCATTTTCCAGCCTCACCAGGAAACCTGGTGCAGGCCAAATACCTTAGCAGAGAGTCCCACTCCGGCCACACTTGGCACAATGCCTCGGCTCCCTGAAGCTGAGTTAGTGAGGCCTCAACAGACCACTGCCCAAACTGGAGGCCAAAGCCCCTTCCCCAGCACGCACAGGCTCAGACTGATGAAGTGCAGCTCAAGGATGAGAGCTCAGACATCGATATGCTAGCTCTGCACTCAGGGGTCCTGTACAGGGACCTCTGGGCCTTACACACCTTGCCAAGCTGCAGGAGCTCCCAGTGCTGATTGACAAAGGACAGAATCTCCTCAAAGTCAAAGTACTTCTTCTTGCTCTGTACTCCCAGGTTATAGAGGGCCAGGTGAACTATGTCCACCCTGGGTGAGAAGGCAAGGGCCAGGTGAGGGGCAGGGTAGAGGGCAGGGGGCAGGGGGTAGGGGGCAGGGAGCAGGGGGCAGGGGGCAAGGGAGGAGTGGTAGGCACAGGTCCCACCCTCTCACCAGCGCAGGGGCAGCCTCTCGATATACTCTGGGCCTTGGTTACACACGGAGCAGAAGAACAGGTAGAACCTGTGGGTAAGCCAGAAGGGGCTGTGACGGGAGGGCACCTAACCCTCAGTCTAGGCCATCCCTCTCACTCCCACCTGATTTCCCATGGTCAACATCCGCTCCTGGGCTATCAGCCTCTGAGCAGTGGAGGGGATAGGGACCAAGGAATATGTCTTTGTCCCTGACCCCTCTCCAAATATCACTGCCCTCGTGGAGAGATTGGGCTGGAGTGGTCACCACTGTCTCTTCTCTCTCTCTCTCTCTCTCTCTCTCTCTCTCTCTCTCTCTCTCTCACTTACTTGTTAGCCTCCAGCCAAGATTTTAAAAAGCATAATATCTGACCTGATTTGGCATATAGAATGCCTTCTATCAGCTTAGCCCTACTAATAGAAGCCATCTCTCTCCCTCAGGGCTGCTATGGTAACTTCTGGCAAGGCTAAGGTAGAGACTATCATCTCTCCTTCCTGAGACATCTGTACAGACCAGAGCTTAGTGAAGGCAGGGATTTGCTTAAGGTCCCCCACAAATCAGTGGCAGCTAGGCATGTAGCATGTTCCTCTATCATCTCCTGGCCTGGCATAGCCTTTTATCTTGAGCTGTCTTGGACAAGCATAGACTATGACAGACTTCCTTTGCATGGAATCTGGCAGCTAATTGGAGAAGGCTGCTGTTGTCACCCCTTGCCCCCAACACCCCCGACACCTACCGGTCTCCAAACACCATAGGCTCACTGAGGCACTGTGTGCAAGCCTCATGGAACCACTGCCTACACCGGTAACACTGCAGCATCCGCAGGTACCACCTGGAGACACAGAAGGGCCAGGTCAGCCACATCACAGTCACGCTCAGCCACTTCCCCAACACAGACTCACCTGCCACTACAAGGAGGGGGAGAGGACTGCGGCCACAGTTACCAAGCACCTGGAAGCCAGCGCTATGCTGCCTCATTGGCCCTTGCATCTAAGTAGAAGGAAAAGGCACCCCTGGTCCCAGCCTCAACAAACAGGGTTGATGAGGATTCCTTGGTCAGCTTCAGATCTGAGTTTTTCAAAGGAGCCTTTTGGGAGTGCATTTATTTTTTAAAACAACTGCCCCACTAAACATTGAGAAGCACAGATTACTAGTGCCACCTAGGGTTCTGTGTACTGTTTTCCTGCTGTCATTCATTAGGCCTCCCAGCACACTGGGAAGCTCACGGGTGATTAAGGTAACGAAGCCCATTTGAGAGATGAAGCTGTTCAAATGCAGGAGTCAGAGCCCAGCTAGGCTTTAAGGTAACCTCCAGACAATCAGAACTGGCTCTCAGACTCAGGGCAGGAAGAAGACAGCGTGCTTCTACAGAGGGTAGAGACCCTGCCTCTATTGTAGACGGCCCAAAGGAGCAGGTTCAATTGTCCATGGAGGCTCAGGGGGGCAAGCAAGACCAGACTCTGGCCCCATAGAAGGCAAGATTGTCCTCCATGACTCTAGCACAGACCCCTGCCCTGTGGGAGGTCTCCAGGAAGTCAGGGTACACTACCACTACCACCAGCAGCAGATTAGCAATCCCCAGCTCGTGTGAGCCTTGATGTAGTTACCTGTGCTCACAATCACACAAGGAAACACCAGCAAATTGAGAATCGAGGAAGGCACAGCTGGCATGGTGCTGTGACAGGTTATGTGTGGGAGCCCGTTTTCAGGTTCCTTATGGCTTTACCCAGCAGGTCCGCATAGAGGATGATTAGGACCACGGGCCTGAGTGCAGGTGTCTGAGATGGTCTGCACTTGGCTGTGCTGGGGGAGAAGGTCTTTTGCTCCACCCCTTGGTGTCTCTATAAATACCCTGGGGCAGAGACAGTCAGGGCCCATTGGAATAGGTTCCAGGTCCTCTGGAGGCTATCCTTTATTTTCTATCTGTTCATCTCCACAATCTAAATCCTTCTAATATTTCCTGCTGCTCGCACTCAAGAAAACTGCGGAACTGTGGGGTTGGTGGGTAAACACCCCGCAGTTATGGACATCTCTGTCAGGCCTAGACTCTTAGCTACTTTTTTTTTAAGCCATTTTTCCCCCCTTTAAGGTCCTTGTTCCTTTCTCAGGTGGCTCCAAGAAAAGCACTTTGCCTTCTACTCTCCACTACCGTCTGGACAGGTTCTCACTCAGGTTACTTCCAGGGCCCACCCCTTAAGGCCCCTAGGTGACTCTCTTGGCTCCCCTTGGTCCGGACTTGGCTTATCGCTGCCATCCGACCCGCTGGACCGCCCCTCGAAGCCTGTTCCCTACCGACCACTCTCTCCCGAAGCCCCATCCCTACAGAGTGACACAGCCAACATTAGAATCTGCTCTCCCTAAAATGACATCGTGGATCCGTCCCTCCAGATCCCGCCTCCACGGCCTGACACCTAGGCCCCGCCCCCGCGACTGTCACTCCAGGCCCGTCTCCCTAAGACCTGGCCACTGAGCTGACTCTCTGGGTCCGCCCCTTCAAGATCCACCTCCGCGGCCGGACACTCAGGCCCCGCCCCCTAGCTGTCACGTCACTGTAGGTCTCGTCTCCACAGCCTGACACCAAGGCCCCGCCCCGAGGCTGTCACCCCAGCTCCGCCCCTCCAGACACTCAGGCCCCGCCCCTCGGGCTGTCACTCAGGCCCCGCCCCGAGGTCGGGCAGTCACTCGGGCGGCGCGCGGGTCCCCCGACCCTGCAGCCCGGGACTCCCGCACGTGCCCCGCCCTGCGGCCTTACTCTCCGGGTCCGCCGCAGTAGCAGTAGCATTGCTGCTGGTTGGTGCGATGGGGCGAGTCCCACTCGAGCTCCTCGGGCTGGTAGGACAGCACCATCTTCACTGCCTGCAGCGTCCTGGCGATGGCGCCTTTCTTCAGCGCGCCGCCTTTCTAGGGGGAAATAGGGCCCAGGTCACCAACCACACCTGTTAGCACACAGCTACCACGAGAAATGCTGCCAAGGTAGGGGAGACCCAGGCATTTTATGAGCGTCAGAAAAGCAAGGCGTTTTTCTCACCAATCCTAAACCCATCCTCTGTCTCCCTCAAAGATATTATTAGCATCAGTCGTAGTAAGTACAACACAGACAATAATTAACCGCGTGGAAAGGACATGTACATGAAGTTGTCTTTTAATAGCAAATCACCCTTTATTGGGTGCCCATTTTATGGTTGGGGAAACGGGTTTAGAGAGGCTCTGAAATCTGGTCTAGGACAGAGAGCTAGTAGGTGGCAGAGCATCCTGTGTCTCCAAAGCCCACGTGGAGTCCTTCTGCCTTGAGTACAGGATCAGTGATGGGGCTCGGGCCTGAGTCTAGGGAGGTTCTTGTCTGCCCAGTTGGGAGACAGGAAGGCAGGGACTGGGGAAAGGGGCGCACTCACCCTCACAGCCAGTGCGAAGATGCAGCGTCGGCAGAACCAAGGAGTGAGGAGGGGCCGGGTGGCACTGCCGGCAATGGGGATGTGGCATTGTTGGTGGTAACCTAGAGCAGAGGAGGGGATGGTGAGTTGCTCACAAGGGGGCAGTGGCCAAGGCTAGCTGGCCAAGGGCATCCAGGCTAGCAGAGCTATGGCAAGCTCTAGGGAGCACTGCCGGCAGCTTCCGGGATACTGGCTGGTGCTACCCAGCGAGAGACTAAAAGACAGTATTGGCCACTTCAAGAGGAACCAAGGACAGGCTTCAGCGCCTGCCTCTCTTCTCCACTCGTTTCTTCTGCCTAGGAGGGCCCCAGCTGGATATCCCATTGTTCTTTGTCAACTTTCCCCAAGGCAGGAGGCACTCTCAGTGACAGAAGGAGAAACTGGAAGCCAGGTGGGACCTCAGCAAGAGAGTGGGGAAGGGACCCACAGCCTTCCCTGTTCACCCACTCACCCAGGCCACACTTCCCACAGATGAGGATCTCATTCATGGGCCCCGACGTCTTCCCCAGGCAGATGTCACACTTGGGCTCCTCTCCTGGAACACCAGCTGAAAAAGAAGTTCTCTCAACTCGGGTCCAGCTCACATGATCAAGAAGAAGTCACAATCACAGACTAGGAGGGGATCTGTACGCAGAACTGGCAGGGAGCTCATAGGCCCCCCTACTTGGAAACTTAATTCTGTTGTTTAGCCAAATTGACACAGCATTGAACTGCCTTCTAAATATCCATTATACTCATTGACAACTACTACTCAGCCTTAACCAGAGAGGTGTCTGCTTCCTGTGAACGGCAGAGAAACAGCTGTACAAAATGCTGAGAATAAGTGACCATTGAGGACTCAGCTCTAAGGGAGACATCTATACCATACCCTCCACAGCTCATGGAACATTTTGGAAGAGGGGCCAGAAAAAAACGTAAGAGCTGGAAGGCAGAAATAAGGGCTGTGAACTGCTATTAAAGCATGGCATGGCCACTGCAATTGTGAACTCTTCTCTTTTTCTTTTTTCTTTTTTCCTGAGACCAGGTTTCTTTGTGTAGCCCTAGCTGTCCTGGAACTCACTATATAGACCAGGTTGGCCTCAACCTCACAGAGATCTGCTTGCCTCCCAAGTGCTGAGATCAAAGGTGTGCACCACCACCATCTGGTGCAATCATGATCCTAATATCTGCAGATGATTACATTGGGTCTGCCCATGAATGGGCCCATCAACACCAGATACTGATGGAGGGGGGCACAGGAGCCCTATCCCTCAATCTGAACCATTTCCTATTGATACATTTTGGGGGGACAGGGAGTTATTGCCTTCAGTTATTGTACCCACTGAGGACCCCCTGGGTTCCAGTGGGTAGTCCCAATACAGTAGTCACAGAGATGACCCTGATAAAAGCAAATGGGTCGCACAACCAATCTGCATCTGGGAAAGGGGCAGGTAGAGAGGAGGGAAGAGGCGATGGGGTAGGAGGGAGAGCAGGGAGGGTTGAGGAGAGCTACAGGAGTGCATACTGCACATGTGCAAAACTGACTAGGCCTTTGCTTAGTTATTAGAGCAGTAATAATAAAAGCCACAGAGCAGGAACCGAGCTTCGGCTGTGCACTGGGCTCCCCAACAGGCCCCCAAAGTTGCCTCTCTGAACCTTCACAGCCTTTCAGAGGTGTCTGCTGACACATGTTCCAAAGATGAGGAAACTGAGGCTCAAGCAGTTATGGTCCTTGCTTAGATATCAAGCAGGAGAGTGGGGTTCAAACCCACAGCAGTCTCACAGCTATCCTTTTCTCTTTGATCACATCTGGCTCCCTCTCCTACCTACTCTAACTTGTTAAACATCTTTTATGTCAAATGACATTTAAAACACTTATTATGGGATAATAATGTAATGCTCCCATCAATTGTGAACTCACAGAAAATCCTGTTTAAACTATATTCTCACCCACATCTCCACCTGTTATTTCAAATCAAGACCCAGACACCCATCTGTTTTTCTGTAACTATTTCAGATCAGAGCTCTCTCTCTCTCTCTCTCTCTCTCTCTCTCTCTCTCTCTCTCTCTCTCTCTCTCTCTCTCTCTCTCTCTCTCTCTCGCTCTCTCTGGTTTTTTGAGACAGGGTTTCTCTGTGTAGCTTTGCGCCTTTCCTGGATCTTGCTCTGTAGACCAGGCTGGCCTCGAACTCACAAAGATCCACCTGCCTCTGCCTCCCGAGTGCTGGGACTAAAGGCGTGCGCCACCACCGCCTGGCCAGAGCTCTCTTTATACCTACTGCATAGCCTTTATTTTACCTAAAGTTACTTTTATTTCCAAATGTCTAACAAATTAAAAGGTCATTACAATTTTGTGTTTTGAATCAAGACCCAAAGTCCGGACATAGTGAGCAAGTTAGTTTGTTTACTCTTAGTTTATTTTGGAGCTGGGGTTCTGGCCCAGGGACTGTGTGTGCTGGGCACACTCTACCACTTAAGTAAATCCCAACCCCTAATAGTTATAGAACGGATTTCCATTGCTGGGTCCTCCTCAGTCTTTTTTGTCATGTTTGTCTTCTCTTGTTAAAGAATAAATATATTTTTATATCTGAAGTATTTGCGTGGTTCTGTTAAATGTATTTTTTTTTTTCCTTTTGAGGGGTCCAATGGTGCTAGGTAGAAAACTAAGACTTTGCACATTCTAGGCAAAACCAGAGCTACTTCCATCCCCTGCCCACAAATACAACTTTTCAGTATATATACAAGTGTGCAGGTTCATGTGGGCAGATGCACAGTGCTCAGGGCCACCATCTTGTCTTTTTTAAGACACGGTTTCTCTGTGTAGCCCTGGATGTCCTGAACTAGCTTTGTAGACAAGGCTGGCCTCGAACTCACAGAGATCTGCCTCCCTCTGCCTCCCGAGTGCCGGGATTAAAGGCGTGCACTACCACCACTGCTGTCTCTTTTTGTCTTTTTGAGATGAGGTGTCTCACTGAGATCTAGGGTTTGCTGACTAGGCTGACTGACCAGTGAGCTCCAGGATCTGCCTGTCTTCACCCCCAGCGTTGGGATTACATGTGTGAACCACTGTGCCAGCATTCTTTGAAAGATAAGATTGGTTTTGATGAGTATGGGTTTTGTCTGCATGGATGCACTCGTGGGCCTGGTGCCTGTGAAGGTCAGAAGAGGCTGGTGGATCACACAGAACTGCACTTACAGATGTCTGGGAGCCGCCCATGTGGGTCCTCTGGAAGAACAGCCAGGGCTCTTAACCTCTGAGCTTTCACTCCAGCCCCCATGCCCACTTTCTTACGTGGGTTCTGGAGATCAAATCTGGGTGCTTGTGCTAGCAAGCTAAGTACTTCCCTGACTGACCACCTTCCCACACTCTCCTTAAATACATTTGAACATGATTTATTTTATTTTATTTATTTATTTTTTTTGGTTTTTCGAGACAGGGTTTCTCTGTGTAGCTTTGCGCCTTTCCTGGAACTCACTTGGTAGTCCAGGGTGGCCTCGAACTCACAGAGATCCGCCTGGCTCTGCCTCCCGAGTGCTGGGATTAAAGGCGTGCGCCACCACCGCCCGGCTATTTTATTTTTTTTTAGTGCAAGAGGTTTATTGGTGGAGGAGGGGAGGGAGTGAAAGAGTGAAAGACTGCACTGGAGTGGGGACATGAGAGAGGCAGGTGGACAGACGGACAGACAGAACAGAGGCAAGGAACAAGAAAGACAAGAGAAGCAAGAGAGGAAAGAGGAGGCCAGAGAGGAGCAAGAGGCAAGAAGTGAAATGATTTTTAAATTTCTAGTTATGGGTACATGTGTGTCTGTGGGTCTGCACAGGCGGTCAGAGGACATCAGATTCCCTGAGATGGACTTACAGATGGTTGTGAGCCACCAGATGTGGGTGCTGGGAACCAAACTCAAGTCCACTGCAAGAGCCGTACATACTCTTAACCGCTAAGCCATCTCTCCAGACCCTTCAATACATTTTGATGTGTTGCTGTTTTGTTACTCCAGAAGGCTGCAAGGAATTTTTCTTGTTTTGTTTTTAATGGTTGAGACGAAGTCTTGCTATGTGG